TTTTTTTTTTTTTAAACTGATAAACACTTGTTACACCACCTTCCAGAAAAGTTGTTTTCAAAATTCTACCTGAGAGCAAGGGAAGGTATGAGCTATGAATAAAACTATTGGATTTGGTAGAAAATAGGTGACAGCCGTTCTAACAAAGTACTTTGTCTTTGGGGGAAAAACCTGGAAAACGGGCACTCTTAAAAGTATTAAGATTCTTACATCATACTTTCAACACCATACATTCTGAGTCATCAGGAGAAAGGAAAGGAGAACTGAGAATTTGCATTGTAAGTCTTATATAAGTTTATATGTTAGAAGCCATCAATTCAGGAAATGTAAGATTACTAACACTATTCAAAGACTCAAATGTTTCAAACAGAGATTCAGAATATTCATTTTGATTATAAAATTGCATCATTTAGTGGTGTATGGTTTCATGATATTTAGTGGGAAATAGCATAATTGTAGGTCTTCATCCATTATTCAGTTATGAAGTCAATTTGTTTTCTATGACCAAGTACTTTTAAAAATGCACTTGGTGAAGGGAAGTATCAATATGTGAAACTGTGTGTGTGTGTACGTGTACTGAAGAACGTACAGTTGTGGGAAAGTCTGAGATTTGGAATTACTCTGATCTTGGTATGAATCTGGGGTCTTTGCTACTTTTGCTGGTTCTCTACCTTTTTTTCTGGCTTGATACACTTTTTAAAAAAAAGTAAGGATACGCCTTCCTGCTGTGTGTGTGTGCATATGTATGTATGTATGTATGTATGGTATGCATGTATATATGTATGTATGTATACAGAGTAGAAATTAAGCAAAATACTTAATGTATAACCAGAGATTAATAAAACTATAATTACTCAAAGTATTTTCCTAAATACTGTCCTCTATATGATAATACCTTATTAATGAGAGGAAAATGTTTTATTGATGACTAGATTACTCTACATTCTACTTTAAAAACATCTCCCTCAGTCTGCTTTGCCAATTGGTTTTTTGCTCAAGGCTGGCACTCTACTACCACTTGAGCCACACCTCCACTTCCAGCTTTTTTTTTTTTCCGATTAATTGGAGCTGAGAGTTTAGGATTTGTCTCCCTGGGGCTGGATTTTCCTTAGTAGGAAGGCTTTAAGGCATGAGCCACCGGTGCCTGGCTCCAATTTGGTTTAGTAAGGAGAGGTGAGCATAACCAACTCTCCTTCCTGTTCTCACACTGTACCCACGTCCAGTATGAATTCTGACATTTTATCTCTGCCTCACACGGTCTGTCTCATCGTCTAGGAAGTACCACAAACTTTCACCCTTTTTTCAGTTCCTGAAACCAGCAGTGCTGGGCTCCGGGCGGCGTCGGCGCAGAGTGCGCTGCGCGCGGACCCCGCCTGGGGCTGCGCAGGGAAGCAGCTGCGGCGCCGATGCCGGCAGTCTCCTCCGCGCTAAGCAGGCCGGCCAGGCATGAAGTCATGTCTCTGGGTCGCCTAAGTGGACCTCGCGAGCAGAGAAAGCACTTTACGTGAAGACCGTGGAAAATTAGATCCCGTCCCCCTCCCCACTCCTCGGCCTCTCCGGGCCGTGGAGAGGCTCGGGGCGCGGAAACGTGCCGGCGTCCGGAGCTCCGCAGGCTGGCGGGCACGCACGCGCCGGCCTGAGAGCCCTTCTGCCCAGATGGATTCTCATAGTCTCACAGACGCGCGGGGGATCGATACCGGAGGGCGGCCGTGCCCGCTCCGTCCCGAGCCTTCGGGGGCCGCTCGGCAGCTTCTCCTCAGCTCAATACGGCCGAGGATGTTAACCCTTTCCCGGCGGACTCCCAGCTGGTCGCTGCCACCGGTCTCCGTCCTTGCGTAGGGGTGGAAGTGGGGGTTCCGTTTTGGGGGTGCCCTGGGTACTCCGCAGCTGTTCGTCCCTGCAGGCGGCCGAGGCCGAGAGTGCTACAGGGTTTCCTTACTGTCCAGGCCGTGGCTTTTTGTCGTCTTTGCCCCGGATAGGATAGGGGGCCGTCCGGGGCAGGGTCGGGGTGCGGGTGCCCTTGCGAGGCCACGAGGCCGGCCAGGGGTCCGCGCACCTCCTGACCGCCCACCCTGCCTACACCACCCACGCGGCGGGGCCTCCGCAGAGGCCACGCCCCCGGGCCCGCGCTCACTCCTGATTGGCCGGCTCAGCGTGGAGGTGGCTCAGCGGGCCACTCGGCCCGCGTCTCAGCTATAAAGGCAGCCCGGGCATGATCGCCTGGCGAAGCTTTGGTGGCTGCCGCTCTCGCCGGCTCCCCCGAATCCCTGCCGACCCTCCCGTTTCTCCTGGTGGCTCAAAACTCCGGACTCCACCATGCCGAGGGGCTTCTTGGTGAAGCGGACTAAACGGACGGGCGGGTCTTACAGAGTTCGCCTAGCCGAGCGGGGTTTCCCTCTGCCGGGTCCCCTGGTGGTGGCGCCGCCCGGCCCCGACGCCTCCCTGCCCTGTGTCGAGAAGGCAGCGCCCCCCACCCAGGAGGAACCTAGAGAAGAGCTGACGATGGAGGCGGCCCAGGAGCTGTCGGGGCCACCCTGTCGGGCGGCCGGGGTGAGCCTGGGGGAGGGCGGGCAGGAAGGTGCCCAGTGGAGGGCCAATGGGAGGGAGGGCCCCGGGCCCAGCCCCGCCAAGCCGGCGGGCGCGGAGCTGCGCCGCGCCTTCCTGGAGCGCTGCCTCCGCTCGCCGGTCTCCGCCGAGTCCTTTCCCGGGGGCGCCGCCTCCCTGGCCACTTTTTCCTGCTCGGTGGCGCCCGCCGCCGCCCCGACCTCGGGGGAACAGTTCCTGCTGCCGCTGCGGGCGCCGTTCCCCGAGCCCGCGCTCCAGCTGGACCCCGCTCCGCTCTCCGCCACCCTGCACGGCCTGAAGCGGGCGGCGGGCAGCGAGCGCCGCGCCAAGGGACCTGCGGGCTGCTCGCCCGGGCCCGCCGCTCCCATCGCGGCGGGGATCAAGAAGCCAAAGGCCATGAGGAAGTTGAGCTTCGCGGACGAGGTGACCACATCCCCGGTCCTGGGCCTGAAGATCAAGGAGGAGGAGCCAGGGGCGCCGTCCCGGGTCCCGGGGGGCAGCCGCACGCCGCTGGGGGAGTTCATCTGCCAGCTGTGCAAGGAGCAGTATGCGGATCCCTTCGCGCTGGCCCAGCACCGCTGCTCCCGCATCGTGCGCGTCGAGTACCGCTGCCCCGAGTGCGACAAGGTCTTCAGCTGTCCCGCCAACCTCGCCTCCCATCGCCGCTGGCACAAGCCTCGTCCCGCCGCTGCCACCACCGGCTCCTCCGCCGATGGGAAGCCACCGCCCTCATCGTCTGCATCCTGCGCCGACGCAGGGCACCTGGCATCGTTCCTGGCCGAGGGGAAGGAGAACAGCCGGGCCGAGCGGACTGCGGATCAGCACCCGAAGGCTGAGGACAGCTCCGGGGATAGTCAGCACCAGGACAGCGCTCCGCGCCAAGGCCTCCAGGTGCTGGCACACCCCGAGCCGCAAGTACTACAGGCCCCGTACACGGAGGGGGTGTTGGGGCATCGGGTGCCCGTGCCGAGCGGTGGTTCGGGGGGCTCTGAGATCTTCGTGTGCCCGTACTGCCACAAAAAGTTTCGTCGCCAAGCTTATCTGCGCAAGCACCTGGGCACTCACGAGGCGGGCTCGGCGCGCGCGCTGCTCCCCAGCTTCGGATCGGAACGGGGGGCCCCCCTCGCCTTCGCTTGCCCGCTGTGCGGGGCACACTTCCCATCGGCAGACATCAGGGAGAAGCACCGGCTGTGGCACGCGGTCCGCGAGGAGCTGCTCCTGCCCGCTCTGTCAGGGGCTCCCCCGGAGGCGCCCGGGCCTGGAGGGGCGTCGGAAGGGAGTGCTCAGCAGATTTTCTCCTGCAAGCACTGCTCGTCCACGTTCTTCAGCTCTCCGGGCTTGACCCGGCACATCAATAAATGCCACCCCTCGGAAAGCCGGCAAGTGCTGCTGCTGCAGATGCCACTGCGGCCGGGCTGCTGAGGACCAGGGCAATTTCCGAACTGGCCTCGGGAAAGCAGTTCCTGGGAGACTTTGTGGGGTCTTTCTGCAAGTCCCCTTCCCATGGTTTTTCTCCTAAAACTCTCCCAGTTCTTCCGCCAGAGGAGCGGACAGAGAAGTAAAACCCCTCTCTAGAGCAGGTATGTATATTGTATAAAACAAACATTCACGGTCAAAGTCAGCTTTAAATCCGCCTCACGTTTCCCAGTAAAATAGGATTGTTTCCCCTGCAAAACTCCGGAGACCCCAACGAATCCTATGATTTGTAATTCCTATGGAAAGTCGCAGTGAATGTGTGCATGTCTCAGTGGCTAACCAAAGTGAGAGGCCAGCGGTATTTTTTTTTTTCTCTCTTGTCATCACAGGCGCCTATGTAGTTTCTGTCTCAATAGGGTCAGACATCTTGAATTGTATATTCTGTGAATTAAAAGTTGTGACTGGTGCCAAACACAGGAGGAAATATTTAAGACCTAGATTCATGGCAAGGAATTTAAGAGAACGGTTGCTGCTCTTGGGGGATTGAGAATCTCCCGTCTTTTTGTAATTACACATATTTGTCTATTCTGTGTTTGGAAGTGAGGAGGGGCCACTTTTCTGGAAGGAGTTGAGACACCCGCTAAATTCTTCAGAGCTGTTTTGTGTGCAGTATTCAGAAAGCTACTTTAAACTTTTAAAAAAGCTATGTAGCTTTTGGGAAATACGGAACTTTTTCCCCTGAAGTTTGACTGTTTTAGTAATAAAGTTTCACCCAAATGAGTGTTATGTTGTAAATCTCATTCTGTATATTTATATACTAAATGGTTCAACTTGTGTTAATATCTATAGTACTTTATGGATCTAAATGACAACGTCCTCAATATTCTATATTTTCTTTTCAGCAGCAAATTTTGAATACATTCTGTACCCATCTCCGAATAGCCAGTGTGTAACACTGGCTGAGCTCAGATCTGTAAAATGCTTACCACCAAATAAATGTACATAGACTGTGCTTTTTGTCCTGTGTCTTAAGAATTGATTGAATACAGCATATTTTCAAAGCCACATTTCTTCTCCCCACTATGCCAGTATTTTATTTTAGAATCATAGTAACCAATTTAGACAAAAAACAAAGACAAGGGATATTATATTTTGCAAATGAATATAATGGTGCAGGAATGCAATGAGAAATTTTCCTTGGAAATCTAGCTACACAGATTGAAGCTACAAAAGAAAGCATATGTACTTTCAAGACACTCTTCTCAAGAAATGGCAACAAAGTGCATCTTAGTTATTTGAATATGACAAAATGAATAACAATAGTGCTAATTTCACTATTAGAAGCTGGCATTTACATGCCATTTTATTGCATACATCAATACTTCAGATGTTCATTTTAAAAAGAGAAAGCATCTTAGAAACATGTAAACAGTTAAGTTTGAGTTTCTCTTTAAATAGTTCATCTTGGCTGTGGAAAATGGTCTATACTGTTTTTTCGAAGGGACTCCAGTTATCTATTTATTTAATAAGCTTGCACAGGAATTTGTCATCACAAGGAAAAAAAGTGCAAAGGAACTCTTGTTATTTTAGAAAAAAATTGTAAAGTTTTATTCCTGAAGGTGTATTATTTATAAAACTATGAGAAATTTAAGGAACAAGATGAGATAAATTGGATGCTTCAACCAGTGTATGTTGGTCAAAGTTTCTAGCCAGACTTTTTGAAGTGTAAGATTTTGTGTTTCTGATGACTGTGGTAGGATCTGAAAATAAGTTGGAGTGTGCCCTGAAAATGGGATTTACCTTCACTTTTCATAATTAGCTTTAGGCTTTAAAGTCCAATCAGATAGTCCTGCTATTAAATCTGAAAACATGAAACAAGACAAATTATGGAGAGCGAGTGATAAGAATATTTTTATTGTGTTGTTAAACACCATGTCATCTTTTTAAATCTCCCCCATTACAAATTTGTAGACACTACATGAATACATAATTTATATGCTACGGGTGCCAGTATGATGTATTTACACATGCAGTTGGTACCAATGTCATGCTACATTTCCTTACAAGATGGCCATCCAAAACAGAATGTAAGCAGCTGATCTGCTATAGGAAAACACTTTTGGAGGGTGGAGTGTACACCAACTTGCACCTGTGACTTTATTATTAACAGTATTAGATTTAACTTAAGATTTCTAGGTCACATTCTCTTTTCTTTTTAATAATACACATAATTTGAGATAATATTTATATCAGAAAAGTATTTTCCTCCTGCACACCACTTGTTTTTTGGTACTGAAGAAAGAACATAGATATACCAAGATCTACAACAACAAAGGGCCAAAACCTCAAAACAAATAGCATATACTGGTGATACCACTTAAAAAGCAGAACATTGGAAAAGTGTTTGGAAGCTAAACAGAAATCAAATTTCAGTAGTGATTTTTCTCATTATTGGCTATGTCATGGTGTTACACAGCCAAAAAATGAAACACTGCCTTAGAAAGTAGTAAATGCTAAAATCATTTAGGTTGGAATTTGAGATACATGACCATATACTGAATATTTTATAACATAAATAATCTATACACACCCTGTGAATTAACAGGTTTGTAACAGGCTAATGTTGTTCTAACTGTATAAATGTTTAAACTTAATTTTACATTTGTAAGGATGGGATATAGCTCAATAGTAGAGTGATTGCCTAGCATGCTTGAGACCCAACTTTGATCCCCAGCACCACAAAAAAAGTTTGCATTTGCAAAAGATTTGTATTTATTGAGCAATGAAGCTGCAATGGGGCACAATAAATAAAATGAAACTATCTGTCCAATTATGCTTTGGCTCAACATTAATCATGAAATTAAAGGTAAAACTACTTAGACATAATTCTCTGGGCAGGTAGTGAGTATAGATTAAAACTCTACCCCCTCAGGATATGACAGCTTGCAGCATGGGTGGGGGGAGAACTGATCAAATAGCCCAAACCTAAAATATTAAGTTACAAATTATTTTAAGTCCAGTGTTTTCTCAAATGTACAGGAAAGAACATGCATATTTGGCAGACATGAAGGCCTGAAAGAGTTAATGCTATGTTTGGACTAAAGTGGCTAGCTGCTGATGATTGCTAGGCTGCTTGTGTCCTTAGGATTTATTGGCTGAACCAGAAGAACGACGCAGCTTCATGGACATGCGGCTTTTGCTAGTTCGAGGAGACATTGGAGAGGCCAGGTCAGCCCCATCTACCTGCGTTGCTGTGGGAGCTTCACTGGGTAGAACCTCTGGGTAGGAGCCTGTAAGAAAGAGCACGGCCATTAGTGTAGTCATCTAGGCCTGTCATCCCATCAGAAAAAAACCTTTCTGTTACTCTCTGGACCAAGTATACTAACTCTTAATGAGGTCTTTTGAGGGGAAAAACAAGCCCCAAACTTGCTTGTTGCAACAGCTTATGAATGTATTTAAAACAAAGTGATCTGGTAGCTCATGCCATCATATCAGCAAGAAATGCACCAATCATCATCTCCAGAGCTAGAGCCGTTGAAAAAGCAATGGGAAGCTTTGGGCAGAAAGAACAGATATCCAAAGCAACACTGGCATGCAGAGGAAGACACACGAAGCTGGTGAGAAAAGACCAATCCTATCTCTAGGGCACAATCAGAATAGGGCTTTTACTGTCCAGACCAGAGGAAAAGAGTGCCCCACAGTTCTAAATAGTTATATCCCAAAGAGGAACTAGGCATTTATGAGACCATCTAGATGCTAGGTATTTAAGTAGGGTTTAAAAAAGAGCAAGATAAAGCCTGGGGAGAGGAAAGATAAGAATTCTCATCTAAAACCAGTAAACAAAAAGACCAACTGACCTTAGAAATGTAGATATGCTAATATAATTTCACTAAACCTTTTTTCTTTTCTTTTCTTTTTTTTTTTTTGAGCCAGAACTTGGGCTATGTGCTGTCCTAGAGCTTTTTTGCTCAAGGGCTAATGTAAACTTCTATACTTATACTTTTCAATAATAGCAAGTAGGTGACCAGCAGAACTGGTCAATATAGAAATTTAAAACAAGCAAAACAAATTTAAATGTATTTTTTGTGTCATTTACAAAACAGTTCTTTACTCCTATGATTCTCCAATGAATAACAATAGTGCCCAAACTTGAAAAGTATACCATCTTAAGTATTTACTAAATAACTGAATAAGATATTAGAAAGAAAAATACTTTAGAAAAAAAGAAAAAGTACAAATAAAATAGCTAAATTAAAAAATGAGTAAGGTACTTCAGTAGACATTTTGTGGGTCTTAAATATGAAAAAATTCTTTGTGTCACAAGCAAAACACCATACAGGCATATAGGCTGTATACTTGACCTTACATTCCTCCTTTTGGCATATTTGTTAGCCAATGCAATACTTCATTGACACATCCAACTTGGAGATTATTATGCTAGCTAGTACTTAAACATTTGTGCTTAAAATGAAGTTATAAATATTTATAAGAAAACCAAAAAATGTTCAATAAGGAGTTCAGATCTTATTATCTTCATCAAAAATGTGTATGTATAGAACACTTCAAAGTATTTTTTAAGGCCAAATGTTATAATTACTTTATTTTTGAAAAATATCCTGTCACTCATAATCCAAGTCAATATCCTTCTTAAAGTAATTTCTCCAACATTTTCCTAATTGAAATGAGGTTGGCCTTCAAAATAAATGAGGAAATACTTTGTTCAACTTTTCCCAAAGATCTGAATCCACTTATGGTAGAATTTAACGGCTAATCCTGAGAAGAACATGAATCCATGGTGCACTGTGGGAAGTCCTATAAATGGAAGACAGGAGGAGGGGAAAGCAATAGCTGATGGTTTCCTGCTAATGCATACTATTCCCAGCCAACATGAGAGGCCTTCCCATGGTTGTTTACCTTGAGATGGCCAATGTTTTCTAGCGGAGGTTTTGGGAGGAAGAGAACTATCACTGCATTTCTTTCTTTGTTGTGAATGAAGAAATGGAGTAGCGAGCAGAAGTGAGAAAACAAAAGAGAAGATAGATAACAGATAATGAGAGACACAGTGCAGAATTTACAGGTGTTAACTGAGGAGCAGAGTAAAGAATAATCAAGTTTTTATTAGGAAATATAATTGGGCATGCAATGAGTTAGGGTGATGATGTTTCACAATGGTCAATGCTTTTTAAATTCAAACATTATACTTACCAACTAACAAAACAAGTTCAAACAGGAAAAAAGAAAAGAAGAAAGAAGTCTATGAGAGGTTCCATAAATATCTTTCTTTTAAAGTCACTGTACTGGTGGTATGTTATCCTATCACTTGGCCTTGACATCTCTAGACATACTCTGATATATTAGAAAGCTATATAATTATTTGGTGGGTCATAGGGCTTGAACTCTGGGCCTGAGTGCTGTCCCTCAGCTCTTCAGCTCAAGGCGAGCACTCTACCACTTGAGCTACAGCACCACTTCCAGTTTTCTGGTGGTTTATTGGAGATGAGTTTCTTGGACTTTCCTGTCCGGGCTTGCTTTGAACCACGATCCTCAGATCTCAGCCTCCTGAGTAGCTAGGATTACAGGCGTGAGCCACTGGCACACAGCTCCACATAGATTTTAATTACATAAAATTAAATCAGATCCTTGGTACATTAGCCTTTCAACTGTCCAACAGGCAAGTGACCAACACAGTTTTTATTAAAGTATGCCTAATTCAAAGAACATTGTCTGACATAATCCCTTTCTTTCACTACTTTAAAAAATAACAGCAAATAAATTGAATAGATGCCTAGGTAAGTAATCTCAGCTTCCTCACTTAAATACATTTTTTTTTGCCAGATGCTGGTGGCTCCTGCCTGTAATCCTAGCTACTCAGGAGGCATAGATCTAAGGATTGTGGTTTGAAGCTGTCTGGGTGGGAATGTCTATGAGACTCATCTCCAATTAACCACTGGAGCTGTGGCTCAAGAGGTAGAGTATTAGCCCTAAATAAAAATTAGCTCAGGGAAAGCATCCAGGCCATGAGTTCAAGTCCCAGCACTGGATATATGTATAGAAACAAGAAACAGCATTTCCTCCATGTCTTCCTTATTGCCTTCAGCCAACTCACACTCAAATCAGGCTTTTTAGTGCGTGGTACATAGTTCTAGCCAATGATATATGTGGTATATACTCAGTATACCAAAACTCCATAAACAATTTATAGTAGGGAGACCTCAATTTTAGATATAAAGAATATAGTGACACATTTTAGGTCATGCTCTATTCTGCCTAACTAGTGATCTATGTTACCCAAGTCATTAAGAATGTCTTAATTACTTTTATTATTATATCTTCAAGAATGAATTTGAAACATTTCTATGGGGTGTTATATTTATACATAAGGCATCGGTTACACACTTCCAGTGCTCACACAGATTGTGTCACTATCTTGATAATATAATAAACTGATTATATATTGTACACTGGTTACAGCAAACTATTAAAATAACATGATGACTTTGACTTTAGGGTTCTACACACATTTAAAAAAGGAACACAATGGATTTTAGTTTATTGTCATTTTGTTTGTACTGTTAGGTGACAAGCACAACAGTTTAAAACTACTGAGTTACTGGGTAAATACAGCCTTTTGAAAACAATTTGAATACTGAACTAAGACACACTGAGAATATACTAGAAAGAACATGGACCAGACAGACAGTTGTAGATTAAATGCCAAGTCTGACACCTAATTAGCTATCTGACCTTGAAAACTTTTATTTGTAAATAAGAGACAATATGTTATTTTGCCAAGTTGTAGTGGAGATTAGTGGATCACATGCAAAGATCATAGAATGTAGTAGCTATACAATAAAACAAAAAATAGAGCAACATTTAGTAGGCTTTGAGTCAGAAAAATATTAAAAAGAAGGGGTTGAACAGAATTATTTTTTTAAAATAAAATAGGTGATGATAACCTCAAATATGATGAATACAATATATCTTCAGGTTTAGTTCTGGGGGAATCAAAGAATTTATCCTCTCCTATTTGATAGCCCTATAAAATATAATCTTAGATTATCCAAGTAACTGTAACTGTAATATGTTAAAGAGGTTGGTGAGGGCTGGGATGTTGGCTCAGTGACAGAGTGCTGGCCTTGTATGCATGAGGCTCTGGGTTCGATTCCTCAGCACCACATAAGCACAAAAAGCCAGAAGTGGTGCTGTGGCTCAAGTGGCAGACCGTTAGCCTTGAGTTGAAGAGCTGAGCGACAGTGCCCAGGCCCAGAGTTCAGGCCCCACAACTGACCCTCCTCCCCCAAAAAAAGAGGTTGGTGAGTGATTAAGATTAGCATGGATACTGTACTTAGTGTCATAAAGAAAACATTGCTACATAATTTAAAATAAAGCAGTAAAGAAATACAAAGAAGCAGTTTCACCTAAAAATACTTTAAAAATGGCTGGGTGCTGGTAGCTCATGTCCTGAAATCCTAGCTCTTCAGGAGGCTGAGATCTGAAGATTGTGGTTTGAAGCTAGTCTGGGCAAGGAAGTCCGTGAGACTCTTATCTCCAACAAACCACCAAAAAAAGCCAGAAGTGGAGCTGTGCGAGTCTTGAGCAAAAGAAACTCAGGGATAGCATCCAAGCCCTGAGTTCAAGCCCTAGGATTGGCACAAAAAATGTATCTTAAAACTACTAACTGCAAACATAGAACAATTCAGATAAGCTTAATAAATTTTACCTCCTTATGAATGAGAAAATGGTATAGATTAATTTCAGTTTATATAGATAATAAATAGCAAGATTATGGTTAAAATTCAAATCCAGATCAGCCTGATTTCAAACCCTTGTCAACCTTAAAGACTATCTATCTATCTATCTATCTATTTATCTATCTATCTATCTATCTATCTATCTATCTATCTATCTATCTATCTATCTATTTATCTATCTATGGCTTGAATCTATAATCCTAGCTACTTACGAGGTGCAGTCTTAAGTTTGAGGATAGCCTGCATAAAAACGTTCATGAGACTCCATCTTGATCAATGGCTGGGTGTGGTGGTGCCTCCTGTTATCTTAAGCTACAAAGGAAGCACAATGGCTGGATGTGGTAGCATGTGTCTCTCATGCCAGTCACATGGGAAATCACAAATAGGAGGAACACAGTCCAGACTGGCCTGGCATAATGTGAAAACCTACCTAAAAAGTAACCAAACCCCAAAGCAGCTGTTGGAATGGCTCAAGTGGTAGACTACCTGCTTAATAAATGTGAGATGCCGAGGTCAGACACCAGTACTACAAAAAAATT